AGATAGAAGCTTCGTTCATTGCACGTTTCCATTCTTCGTCGTCTTCAATTAAACCTAAAGCTAAACATGCGGAAGTAAACGTTTGATGTAATTCACCATTGACTGTTTTTAAATCATTATAACTTGTTGCTCCATTGACATTCATTAAAAGAATACGCAAGTGAAATAACTCTATTTCAGTTGGGCTAACTGAGTACATGCGTAATTCCAATGCAATTGAAATAACGCTGACGTTTTTCCCAACGATTAACTTGTTGTCCATCAAGAGTTACTTTTTTAAATACATAGTATAACGGTATATCTGTATATCTGTACTGGCGTGCATCAACATCTCGTTTATTTAAATCAAAATAGTCCATCAACATTGTTATACGTTCTAAAACAGATTGTAAATTCTCTTCATTTGAACAATCAGAGATAATTACATTTTGTTCGTTTGGTAAATGCACTGGTAAACGAATTATAGCATGACTTTTCTCTTGTAATGTTTTACCTGTAATGCGCCAATAAGCTTCAACTGGTCCTACGTAACGTGCTTCAATAAAATCCTTGATTTCGTCATGAACAATCTCTGTATCATTCACATTATTTTCTATAACAAAAGACGCTGCATCGTGACCTTTGTAAATATACTTGTATAAATACTTCACCGATTTAATACTTGAAACTATTTCAACATTAATATGACAATTAAAAATTGTTGATAATATTGAACAATAAGGAACGACAAATCGATTATCTACTACAAATTCTCTAGATTTCTCATATAAAATGCTAGTATCTTTTCGACGATATTGCGGATAATCATTTTCATCCATAGTTGTTTCTTCGTGAAAGGGTTTTGGAAAATGTTTCGAACATTTTCCATTTATCATACACCAATCACCACAAGGTCCATGAATCATATTTTTCATGACGATTTCATGTAAATTTTTATCAATAACAGGATCCGGAATTTCAGCGGAAATATACTTGTCAACAGTTTCCGAATTAGTAATTTTGCAATTTTGTTTCAAAGTTATTAACATATGTACATGCGGTAAACCACGTTTTTGAAATTCAATTACATAAACGAAAGCTTTTACTTCACCGAAAAATTTTTGTCGAACTATTAAATCTATCATATAATCTTTTTTTATATTAAAAACTCCAGTGCAAATATCAGGTCTATCAGCAGGTTGTTGAGCTGGAAGCAAATTTTCTTTCATTTCGAGCCAATTTGGATTGCAAGTCATTGTAATAAAAACATCTGGTTTACCATACTTGCGAACAATAGCCATTGCATCTTGGTAATTTTGCATCATATTTCGAGGTGAACCAATAAATGTCGAATAATAAATGTCGATGAAAGAATTATTATTCGTCCAATACGAGTATTAGCGTCAGTTGCTACTTTTTCTAAATAATCAATCATTCCTTGATGTTTTTCTATTCTCAACTGTTTTTGGTTTTCTTTGCACCAATTAATTCTATCTTTTTCTATTTTTACATAACTGTCAACAAGCCATTGTTGAAATAATCGTTTACCCATTAAAAAAACATTGAAACTGTCACGTAGAGCCATTCGATATTGAACATACATTGATCTGATTACACGTTTTCCATTAATTTGTTTAATACCGTCGTGCCAACCTTGCGAACCGTACGGATAGTACATTGGATAAATCTATGGTTCAACGTTTGGATCCATTGTATTAACATATTTTAAAGTTTTATCACGTTTATTTCTAATTGTAACATAACAATCAGGAATATATATATCTCCATCAGCGGTAGTTGAAAAAATTGCAGCAATTTTATTAGTCCTTTGAACATTATATCTTCCACGATCGATGCCCGTTTTCTTATTTAAAAACCCCATTTTTAAATTAGGCACGTTTAAACCTAAACTTTCCTGATAACAAATTTCTTCGTGCATCATTTGATATGACTGAGCAAATATATTGTTGCTACGAATAATATCATCTAACGTACGCAATAACTCTTTATCGAGATTTGAATTTGTATTTAAACGATATTCTGTAACTTCGTTAGCGTCAAGAATAAAAAGCTGTCCATAACTTGATTGTTCATTTGTAGCAGGATATAAAGCAGTGTTAATTTGATAATATATTTGACCTTGAATTTTGAAACAATAAGATCCTCGTTTTTGAGCGTTAAAATTAATCAAGTTAGCATTGAAAGATGCAAAAGAAAATGCACTATTGTAAACTCGCAGATTTTGTAAAAACTGTTTTGATTTCTGATGATTTCCAGAAAATAACTGTTGTAGTTCATTAGGAAGTAATGGTAAAGGTCCCAATATTACTTTTCCATGACTACAACAATCGTTGAATGAACTGCCTTTATTGTAAACTTTTTCAGCTTGAAAATGCTTTGCTTTACAGTGTTGGCATTCTACATCCATTTTTCCTATATAATGTTGATTTAAATTATAATAGTTTATATTCTGAAATCCTTTATAGTTGGCTCGGTAATTTTGTACTCTTCTTTTGCTTAAGTTTATATTATGTATTTGCAATAATTATTCATCATTAGTTCAGGAAAGAATATCATTTACACTCATTGACTGACTTATTTCTGCAATATTTTCATTCGCAAGTACTTCGTCAGTAGTTAACAATTGTTTGTTTATATTAAAACTATTATTATTACATTTTGAATTCAAAGTTGTCAAAACATTGCTCTGTAACTTTAACATGCTGTTGTTAACTGTTGTAACAGAACTGTTTAATGTTGTAATATTATTAGGTGTACAACTTCGCTTCCGCCGTTTTCCTATAGATGGCTTTAGCGGTAAGTGATGGTCGAAATAAATAGATCGTAGACGTCATTACAATAAACTTGGGTATCTGTCAACATAATCCCATAGAAACATTAGTCGATTTGTGTCTGCATCATAAAGTTATTCTCGATTGAAAATGTCAGTTTACGAACCAAATTCTCGTCATTTGCGTCAGGTTTTAATTTTCTGCTTCAATATGAAGAAATCTGCGGCTGAGGCTCATCGAACGTTCTCAAATACTTATGGTGAGGCTGCTATTAGTGAAAGAACGTGTCGTGAGTGGTTTTAACGCTTCAAGAACGGTAATTTTGACGTCGAAGACCGGCATAGCGGAGGAAGAAGAAGATTTTCGAAGATGCAGAATTGGAGGCATTACTTGATCAAGACTCGTGTCAAAATCAAGAAGAATTGGCACGATCATTGGGAGTGACTCAACAAGCCATTTCAAAACTCCTCAAAGCCATGGGAATGATTCAGAAGCAAGGAAATTGGGTGCCGTACGAGTTGAAGCCGAGA